AAAAAAAAAAAAAAAAAGTCACTGCCATCGAGTTGATTCAGGTTAAAAATACAGTAGGGAAAAAATATAACATGCAAATACTAACTTAAAAAATAAATCTGCAGTGGCCATATAAAATAGACTGGAGAGCAAAGAAAATTATAAGAGTTAAAGAGGGATGTTACATAATAATGAGAGTCCCTTCAACAGGAGACATCCTAAATGCACATGCACATAAGAACAAAGTTACAAGCTATATGAACCAAACATGGACATCACTAAAAGGAGAAAAATCCACAACTACAGTTGGAGACTTCAACTTTCTTTGTCAGTAATGTATATAACACTATATCCATCACCATCCAGTCACTTATGACTCACAGCAACTCTATAGGTAGGAGTTGAACTGCCCCATAGAGTTTCCAAGGCTGTAATCTTTTCTGAAGCAGATTGTCACATCTTTTTCCAAATGAGCAGCTGGCGAGTTTGAACCATCAACCTTTCTGTTAACAGCTGAGTATTTAACCTTTGTGCCACCACGGCTCCTTTAAGACATTACTAATAGACAAAAAATAAGCAAGGACATAAAGCAGAACACCATTACTCAACTGAATCTAACTAACACATGTAGAACACTCTACCTAAAACAGGAGAACACATGTTCATTTCACAAGCACATGGAACATTTACCAAAAGAGACCATACCCTAGGTCATGAAACAAACCTTAGCAAATTTAAAAGAATTAAAATTATACAGTAAAACCTGTGAGAACTTGAACTCATGAGACTACCTGGTTTTCTACCTTTGACAGGGTGCAGTCTTACCACTTTTCAATCACTCCCTAGTAGAATATATTTTAGTTTTCTTTGACAAGTTTCCACCTTATATGAGTTCTAGCTTTTGCAGGTTTTACTGTACGCAGTATATTTTCAGAGTATAATGGCATTAAACTTGAAATCAATAATAGATATATCACAGAATAACTCCCATACACTTGGAAATTATACAACACAATTCTCAATGATCCAGAGGTAAAAGAAGTCTCAAGGGAAATTAGACAATGAATTCAATGAAAATGAAAATAAACCCAAAACCAAACCCACTGCCATCGAGTTGATTCTGACTCATAGTGGCCCCCAATTGGGTTTTCAAGGCAGTAAACCTTTATTGAAGCAGATTGCCCCAACTTCCTTCCACAGAGCATTTGGTGGGTTTGAACCATTGACCTTCTGGTTAGCAGTCAAATGCCATAGGCATTGCACCACCAGAGCTCCTTGAAAATGAAAATACAATGTATCTAAATTTTTGATGAAGCTATGCCGGTAATTAAAGGAAAATTTATAGCATTAAATAGTTACAAAAAATAGAAAGTCCCAAATCTATATACGATTCCACTTTAATCCCAAGGCAAGTACAAGGAAGGAAAGATAAAGATGAAAGCAAAAATCAGTGAAATTGAAAATAAAAACAATTAAGAAAAATCAATTAAACAAAAGCTTGTTCTCTGAAAAGACCAGTAAGATTGATAAACATCTAACAAGACCAACAAATGAAGAAAAACACTTCATGGCAGCTCTAGGAGAAGGTCTTTGCCTCCTTTCAACATCTGTGAGCCCAGTGTTCCTTGGAGATTTCTGTGTGTCTAGGCATCAATCTTCCCCTGAGTCTAAGAGGTTCTCAGCACAGGGACTCCAGGCCAAAGGACATACTCCACTCCCAGCATTTCTTTCTTGGTAGTCGTGAGGTCTCTCCCTTCTCTGCTTGTTTCTCTCCCATTTTATCTCTTATAAGATAAAAGATGTGATTCAAGCTAGGTTGTAACTTAAGGGTGTGACTTGTGTAAAGGTGTGACTTGAACAAGGGTGGTGACTTAAGTAAGAGCATGACTTGAATCCCAACCTCTTATAAGGCTGTGACTAAGACCCACCCACTCTAATCCTGCTTCATTAACATATTTAAAAAAAAAAAAAAGTACTGACATGGAGTGGATTCCAACTCATAGAGACTCCCATAGGGTTTCCAGGGCTGTAAATCTTTACGGAAGTAGATTGACTCAACCTCTCATGGAGCAGCTGGTGGGTTTGAACTGCCAATCTTCTGGTTAGCAGCCAAAATCCTTCCCACAGCACCATCAGAGCACCTCATTAACATATAGAGGTTAGTATTTGTGACACATCACAAAATGGAGGAAAATTATATCAGATCACAAAATAGAGGACAACCACACACAATACAGGCATACCTCAGAGATACTCTGAAAAAGAAATTGGAAAAGCAATACCGTTTACAATAACCACCAAAAAGATGAAGAAATTACAAATAAATGTAACCAGAGGTAAAAATGAAAAAAAAAAAAAAAAAGACCAGTACAAAGACAACTACAAAACACTACCACTAGCAATCAAAAGAGATCTACATAAATGGAAGAATATACCATATATCCACATTATATTCCCACTGGGTTTCCAAGGCAGTAAATCTTTACAGAAGCAGATTGTCTCATCTTCCTTCCAGCCTAGTGGTTCAAACCCACCAGCCATTCCATGGAAGGAAGATGGGGTGATTTACTTCTGTCAAGATTTATAGCCTCAGAAACTCAATGAGAGTTGCT